TAATCAGCTACATATTCAAGTAACGAATAACCGAAGTTTCCAATGGATGCGCAAACTGCCGGGAACCTAGCGATGTTCTTTAAATTGGACAACGACTCGAGTACGAGATCGCAGGAGCACGAATAATAGTTTTCAAACCACTCAGTGAAACTCACGTACCTCACATACGTGTGTGGCACAATTTCCCGGGTGAGATTTTTCGCTCCGACGAAATTTCGGCTGTACGAAATTTGGTTGAGTAGATGCGAGACAGCGAAATTTCGTTTGACTAGCGAAAATTCGCAGGCGTTTAACGAAATTTTCGTGGCGAACTTTCGTCGAATTTTCGCGACTGCCGAGAACTAAGGACGAAATTCGGCGAATTTCGCTCTCACTATTTTTGCACAGTACTGACAATTATTGTTGTGAATACAAGAAGCTCAAAATTCCAAAGCCGTACTCTTAATCGATTTCGCACTAGTATTAAATCTGAAGCCTCACTTAATGAGCAATGCAAACGAATGGGCCTGTGATGCAAAATATTACGCTCATGTCAAACAGTGCAACGCGGAAATGACAAACGGAAATGAGGAATAGCAAATTCCTACCTGTCCTGCATTCCAACTGGGTGATTTTGAAGACTGGTCTATTATAGCCGTTTTTACTCGATCTTTCATATCTTGCAGCGTATGCAGCCCTTTCGAAGGAATGTCAAGCGCCGCCATCGCTTCAAACATCTCCCCTATGTCGTCGATTTCATCGATGCTTTTTATTTTACCCGCTGCCATTTTGAATGAGATTTCGGTTAAATTTAAGAATATTGAAATTTAACACGAAACAAGTGCTATTTGAGTGCGAAAAAAACTATTTTTCATGATTTCTACAGTGTAGATCAATGGTGCATAAAATCTTTTCTAAGAATTGGCGTATTTGAGGTGAGGCAACAGAAATCCGGGGGGTGAGGATAGCTTACAACAGTGCACAAGTACCGAGGAGGGCAGTTTCTGTTTCCTTAAAAAAAAATTACGACCTTGACGCTATCCGCAGTTTCAGCAATCTTTTTATCAGTTCAATCAGAACTTACCCGAGAATTCAAAGCGACCATTTCCCTCTAATCAATTTAAAAAGAAAACAGTAGTGTCTTTTAATCGGCTTCCAGGACAGCAAAAAATGACGTCTGAATCAAAAAGTAAAAATGACCGTGATCAGGTTACGTTTTTCCTACACTTGTACTTCCTTTTGAGAGACAATGAAGGCCATAAAACGCAAGATCGAAGAAACTGATGATATAGCTGATGTTACACTGCCTTATTGATGATCAATCTAAACATTGCAACTAAAGATGCAAAACCCTTCAACAGATGACAGATCGGATCTACAAAAATCTAAAGATCGGCGTGAAAATGTGGACCCGAATAAGGTATATGCAGGTTGTAATAAGCATGTCGCGAAGTTTCGTCTTCGCCGCCTGGTCAGCTGGACTTCCTCTCCAAATTAGGCGGATTGAATCCGCTTAATTTGGGGAGAAGGGCTAGCTCAGTCGATTGAGATCTCGATCGACTTTTTTTTTTTGAAACAAGGATATGATTTACAATGAATATGCTAATATTAAGGCGTTTTTATTTCTCAGACGACTGTCGATCGTTCATAACTCGAACATGCTTACTTCAGAGAACTACAATAAGTTTAACAAATCCTTTCGATAGACGATACTTCTCAAAACTCTGGAATCAGCTGTGTGGCCTATACATTGAATTTCCTTGGACTATGAACTGTTTATTAAGAAACTAGCACGTGCTACAAAATAATCATTCGGATAGAAAAACCTTAAAATACGAAAACTCCAAAACAGAACTGACAGCAACTACTTCATAACAGAAGACAGGAGACATTTGGTAACAAAGAGGTTTTAATCATCTTATAATTAACAAACACTAATAATAGTCAGATAGTAGTAATAATTCTCAGCTCATTCTCAGCCTGATTTTTATTCTTAGCCTTCTGCTTTCTTGACAGATATCGCAGCTCCCTGAGGTTTTCATTTCAGGTGTACTTATCACAGTTCAGGGGCACCCAACGTCAATTTTCGGAAAATATCTGTTCGGAAGATGATTTGAGATCTAGAATTTTTGGAAAAAAAAAATGGCATAATTGCCCATTTTTAACGGATTTTTACCCTAAAAAGGTCGCCTAGAACTTTCGGGAGCCTTTTTTCTGGCTAAAATTTTCGAAAAGGTAAGTTTTGATCCTTATAGTTTCGGATCAATAAACTTTCAGCTAGGAAATCCGAACAGATGAGAACTTTTTAGGGGATAAAAATATGCCTATATCTACTGTTTAAATACTCAAATACGTTTACCAAAGCTATGTTTAAGCGGTTTTGAACTATATTCTCGTTGGGTGCCCCTGACAGTTCCAACAATCTATAGAAACGAAATATTGATAAAGTTTTAATACTAATTGTAATCTGCTACTTTATTTGCGAAAAATACAAATAATTAACGGCTCTTGCCCTTAATTAAGCGACAAGGTCAGGCTGATCACAAAGTGGCAATAAAAAAAAAACAGTCCAAACACTGTTGAGCATATTGAAAAGCTTAGATTACCAAGGAAGGAAATACGCTCAGTCAAAAGACTATCTCTAAATTATAGAAAAACACTTAAGCTGGAGTCTACTGAGTTACAATGCATTTCTCTATGGTTGAAGCAACTTCAGTTTAAGCTGCACTTCATATTCTTATAATTTTGGATCTGTAAATCACTATCCGTGATGATTTAGCATCCTGCAAAGAAAGCTCGCGATCTGGGCCCAGCGTGATGCAACATATTGCAGAAAAACATTTCATTCACGGAGTAAAGAAAATCGCTTAGTTCTTCAGATCCAGAAGGCACTTTGGAGAAAATTAGAACCCTTATTCAACTGTAACAAAAAGCTTTACGCTTCAAAAAACTGTGGTCAAAGAAAATGCTCTTGCATCAGAGGGCAAATCCTGTCGACCAGAAACAAAAACCACAGTAAATCGTTATGTGTGCCTCTCAGTGTGAAACAAACGGCTAAAATCACATTTTCTCAGTGAAAATGTAGATCAACCTTCCAGAGCATAATCTACCCAACAGAGGAAAAAAAAATTATTGGAACGAGCAGCATTTTGGCATGAGGTAAAAGTCGTGTAGGCCTACCTAGAAAACGGTCGATGCAATGCAAGGAACAACAGCTTCGAGTATAATGATGCCCTGTTAAACCTTAAACGGACAATGACAGTCGATTGTAGCGCGCTCTCGTTTGACAAAGAACTGACTCCTGGGTTCAAACCTTTCACAACAAAAATAGAATGATTGACAACAACGTTGAAAACACAAAATGTCGGTAAGCGACTTATTAAATAAGACGTAAAGCAAGACCACCCAATGCACTTTTTTTCTGTAGTTTGCTTTCGGATAAACAACAATTGCATCGAAAGGAAAGAGACTAAAGATCAGCTCTATAATTTTTTGGACTGTGGCAAGATTCTCATTTACTAACCTAAACTTGAAGGCAAAGTTGAAAAACATGCCTCATTCAAACGTGTGAATTCAACCGCCCTGAAACTTCTCGGCCCAAAATTTACTTCCATCATGGCTTGTTGCTCTTCACGTGTGCCCAAGATGGCGAGCATTGTCTTCTCGCCAGTTTCCAATGGAATTATGGGTACATACAGCGAGCAGAGACGAATAAACAACGAAAACGACGAACAGGGTACGAAAATCGCCGTCTTTCTGATATGGCCGCCATGTTGTGACGTAAGGTGTTTATCAAATTTGATAACCGTCCCGGACCGTTATTTCTTCACTAGTGGAGCTCCTCGCACGCGAGCGTATAGCTCCATAGCTAACAAAATTTGGTAAACTATGCATCCGAGAAAATTTGGTTATAACGTCAGCGTACGGCTGCCAATACGTACACTAAATGTAAGGAACACATATTAAATATTTTCTCCATAGAACCTGTAACTAGGGAATTTCTGGAAGTTTCACATTTTACTTGTGCAAAATAACGGCAAGGAAATGTGCAAAAAAGTGTGCCGGACGTGCAAAGTTGTTATAATAAATCGTTGTCTTCATCGTTTATTTAGTATTACTCAATTTTATATTTTCGATATTAAAGAGAGCTTTGTCATGTCAGAGAAGTACGTCAAATCGACAAAGCAAAGTTTCAATGTGATAGTTAGAGATGGCGAAGGGAAAACGGGTGACAATAAGGCAAGCAAGAGGAATAAATGGCCTTAATTCATTTCTGCTAGAAGGCCGCTATTGCGTACCCTGGGTGCCAGAGGCTTTTCATACGCGGTTCCCGGTGTCGGTCAAGTCTTCAAAAGTGACCCGCGCGAAAAGCCTGTGGACCAGAGCGCCATCCCTTTGAAAGCGCCGAGCCAATAACCACTCTGTTTACACCAAACCATCCAGAATCTGGAATCTATGCCATATTTGCAATAACCTATTTACACCCCGGTGTAAATTGGTATGCAAATGTGGCAATTACCACCTTTTTTCACAAATTTGCAAATAACCAAATTTCGTGCAAATCCATTTTTTTCGTCCAGTGAACGTTTTTTAAACAGGTTAATTGGCCGAGAGACGAGACTTGCGCATGCAGAGAGATAAAATTTCACATTTTTTGGGTTCTGCAGATATTATTACATTCGGATTCGTTTTGAAATTGGGCTAGCGTTGGAAGCGTCAGCTTTGCAACCTACTTACGGTCGTGTCGTCATACCCAAGTCTTGAACAGTCTGCACAGAGAACTGAGAAAGTCCTCAGTTAGCCCCATAATGTTTTCCTAGTGTTGTTTGCTCCCTCGTTGGTGTGACCTATTTTTAATAGGCATTTAAAGTAATTGCAGATGCACAAGCATTAGAAAAGCTGAAATTAAGCTTCTTCAGGTCTATTATGAAGTTTTACAAGTTGTAGGCCAAATGAATGTTACTTTTCTAAATCTTCTCAAAACAAGCGAGGGTGATGTTCCTGCCAATATAAAAAACAGAATGGAAAGAATCGAGGACAAGGAATACGTCGTTCTTGTTGCAGGTGCGTTAACGTTTTATCATCATTCAAATATTTTGATCGCGATCGGTCTAGAGATCATTGCATCGCCCAAATTAAGCATGCAACAACTTATTAACAGCTTAAGCAACAACGACGGTGACGACCACGAGGGCGTCACTTATGAAGTTGCGCTGCCTAGTCAAACTTTGTTGCGCTTATTGCCTCAGTTTCAACTCGCCAAATGTTGGAGGTTTTTTTCTGGAGTTGAATTCCAAAAACCTGCATCGAAGTTCAGGAAAAGAAAAAGCAAGTCGGTGTCTTTCGTCCTCCACAAAACCGGTGAACATAAGCATTTTCACGTCGTAGTAGTGTAGTGATGGTAAAGAAATGTACAAAAAAGCGTGATGCACTTGCAAAGTTGTTGTTTTGCCAATCTAAACCTATTGCATTTTGCCGTTCTCGTTGACGTTGCCGTCGTCGTTGCTTAAGCTCTCTACTTGTTTCATACTGTTGACAGCATACCAGCATAGGACTTTAATATGCCCTAACTATCGAAACAATTTTTCCAGAAGTTTAATAATATTGAGGATTGGAACAAAAAGACAAAATTAGGCTAATAGTGTAACATCATTAAGGTTCAAATTTCATTTTTTATTGAAAAAAGGAAAGTGCAGCATGCATACAATCCCATCAACATGAACTTTCACCGGACTGAAAATATTGATTGACTTGAAAAATAACCAACTCCACAGTATGTTTGCAATAATGCTTCTGTTTTAAAAATTAAACAACTGAAAGTGAATATTTCTAGACAATGCCAAATTTTGCTATGGTTAATCATTTCCATTACAAGAAGAAGTTAACAAAATGAAAAAGAAAATAACAAACCATGAACATAACTCACTCTTCTCTATTTTAAGTCCACGTTTCTCAATTCTTTACCAAACGTTGGGATATCTAGTACCTAGCCACTTTGAAATGGGCATCTCGCTGACATTTCTTCGCCAGCAGTCAAAGCAACGTGTACGAAAAATGCTTCGCGTCAGCTTGCTTTATTTGATTTACAAACCTCGGCAGATGCATCTCTTATGAAATGGGGAGCTGTTTTTCAAGATCATTCTTCAGGAGGTCGTTGGGCTCCTGATGAAGCTAGTCAGTGCATTAATTGTCTTGAACTGAAAGCAGTTTACCTAGGATTACAATCCTTTTGTCAAAATTTGTCACAGGCTCACATGAGAATTTTTATTGATAACACCACTGCAGTCGCTTCCATAAATAACATGGGTGGCACTCATTCCCTTGAACGTAATCACATTGCTAGAAGATTTGGTTGTGGTGTCTTGAACGCGATCTTTGCATTTCTGCTGCACATTTGCCTGGATCGAAAATCCAATTTAGCAGCCGATAAAGCTTCTCGAATTTTTCATGATCGCACAGAATGGAAGTTGGACCCTAACATTTACTTCTCACTTTACACAAGTATTTGTGGTCCCATCTATTGATTTGTTTGCTTCCAGGCTGAATTTTCAGACAAAGCCCTACATAGCCTGGCACCCTGACCCTGGTGCATTTGCCATTGATGCCTTTTCTGTTAGTTGGAGGAAACATTTTTTTTTTTACATTCTCATTGATAGGGTTCTACAGAAGGTGGAAGCCGACGAAGCCTCCGGGATATTAACTGTGCCACAATGAACAACTCAGCGTCAGTTTCCAGTTCTGATGGGCCTTCTTGTTCGGGAACCTCTTGCTCTGCGTCGGGAAAAGAACGTCCTCCAAATGCCATACAACCTCAGTCATATCCATCCACTTCACCAGAGGTTGACCCTGGTGGTTTGCAAATTGTCAGGATGTCATTACAAAGTTAAAGACTTTCAGAGCAGGCTATTGAAATTGTCATGTCATCATCAGAGAGCAAGTTCAACCAAGAAACAATACAAGACCTATCTGTCACGATGGCACTAGTTTTCAACTAAACGGTCTTGTGATCCCTTGCAACCAACTGTGGCAGAAGTTATCGAGTTTTCTTATTGAACTTTTTCAATCTGGTATTGGATACATACACCTTATTTGAGGGTTTTAAGATATACAGGGTGTCCCAAAAGTTCGTTCCTATAATTTCATGCACTATAACTTTTGATCAAAACTTTATTTTTACTGGAAATTCCTAGAAGATGTTTATTTCACCATCGAGAACATATATTCATAATTTCAGTTACTGGCGTACGTGCCCTTTTTGTTTTTTATCACATTCTGAAGCCGTTGCGGCATGAAGTGGAATACAGCGTGTACACCCACAGATGGTCCATTTTGAGCTTTTTTTCACCTGGTACGCAGGAGCCAGTTCAGCCCCCAAACAATATTTGTTTAGTTTAGGCAGCTGGAAAAATATTGGGCACGGTAACGCTTTTGTACTTCTTTACAAATTTAGGACGAGCTGGGCGTTACTTGGCAGACTAAGCAGTTGTTTTTGGCCATCTCAGGGGTCTCTAATTTTTTAAACATTTTAAACAGCTTTTCGTAACCCTTTCTGGACTTGGCTTGCTAACTGTAAGAGAGTTTCCTTGTGGAGACGTCTCCTTTTTTGTATCTAGTCTTCTTAAAACCATTTTACCTGCTTTATTCAGGACTTTTGGTCTTCCCCCTCGTTTCTTGCCTTCAAAACCTTCATTTCGCCATGATCATTAACCACCCAACATTCGGATTTTTCCACTTTATTAGCAGTTTCTGTAACAGATAAGCCAGTAAATCGAAGTATACATGCTTATGCTCTCACGTAGCTGGACGTTTTTGTGTTAATGGTGTTTATCTTTCTTGATAGTCACAAAAAAACAAGGAAAGAGTTCGAGCAATTCGGACCATAAAATACAAACAAAAAAAGGCTGGAAAATATATTCGCGCACGCGCACCTTTGGCGCGGCAGTACACAAATCGAATATTCGAGTCAAAAGATGGCACAACAAGTACGAAAATAGTGAATAAGATTGAAAGTCACAACTTTTGTTTAAACGATTTTCCTACCAAGTCCAATCGTACTGAAATACGGACTTATAAAGTAGAGGAACGAACTTTTGGGGCACCCTGTAATACGTGCGGATATTTTGTGAGTTGAGTAATAGGAAAAATACGAGCAATTAGCAAATTGTCCCCTCGTATTATATGCTGAACCATCGAATAAGAGGTTTATTATTCCACTACAAAAAAATTGTTTTATTTTTTGGCATCCTAATTCCCTGTAAGTAAACTTTGATTCTGATTCTCGTGAGTGGTTGCGTAGGAACGAATTAAAATTCTTAGACGACACTTACATCAAATTCAGGGAAACTGAGCTGGTAGAAATTTCGTAACTGAATCGCGTGTGAATTCGCGGCTCATTACGCATGCAAGAATGTAGAGATGAATCTGAAATCTACAACTGCCAACGGACTCAACTTTCGAATAATANGGTTTCGCTAAAAGCCCACGATTGATCGTCCTGGACATTGAAAAATTGTGAAATGCCGTATTCTGTCCGAGGTCTGTATGATAAAAAGTACTGTTTCACCTCAGATGTGATGTATAAAAAGTATAAAAGGTTGGTTTACACACCCTCAGATTTGTTGGCAAGGATTTGTAAAGTAAACCTGTCGAACGCAAAAAAATGCGGCCTGATTTGTTTTCCAAGAATTTGTTTTCGAGGCCTAATCTACTGTGATCAAGAGCCATTATGGCTCTTGAATGTGATAGAAGATGTTTGCTATTTTTTGGGTGTACATATATTTAGGCTATCAACTCGATGTAAGATGTTTCACTCTAAAATAACTTATCCTTTCCCTCAAAAGTCACATGAATGTGCCCTTAAGTTAACTGATTTGTGGATTACAAGTTTATTGTTTGATTTAAAATATAAATTTATTAATGGGAGCTTCGCTTTTAGCCCTGGCTAAATCTATATATTAAATTCATTAATTGAATTTTGAGGGGTATGCTTGACCTGGCTTGACTGTAAAAGCACCAAAGAAATGGCTTTATATAGTGCAGGTCTGTAACTTTACACCAAATTTTCGATTTCCGCCATCAGGTTTGATGCGTCCATGCTTTATATTGTCGTTCAGCGGATGCACGCATGTGCATGAAAAATGCCCTCCTGTTGCCCAAGAGGAAAATTTCTCCAGCAGATTTGATGCATCATGTAGGCGTGAAAAGTTCCTAGTGCGCCGCGCTGTCCTGTGAAAAACTTCGAAACGTCCACCTCTTGTAATGCCACTCGGACGTGATAGGTAAATTACTGATTGCTAACTCAGAAATATTTTTTTAAATTTTTTAATCACTTTCCTTATTATAGGAAATTAACGCTCGCTTTAAGTCTTTGGAGATCTTCTGAGATGATTGAGGATTGTCGGAAAACGGGCGAAAACTCCTTGATTAATGATAAACTAAAGAAAATAGTATTGGCCCTTTTGGTGTCGTTTTTTTTTATTATTTCTTTCTGGAAAAAAATTACTGTTACAGCGAGTTTAATTTTTTACTGTACTGCATCTAGTCCGCCAAAAATATGGCCCCGTTTGCCAGAAAGTCATAGTGGACATTAGACAATTATGAAGACAATGGTAATAAGCGAACTAGCTAATACGAGTAGTATTGACTTTAACTACAAATATTTATATATCTTTCCTATTTTTTGTTATAGTATTACTATGATTATTGGCCTTCTTAAATTACCTTCGAAGTGATATTATAAACTCCTTAGAGTAGCACAATTTTTAAAACAAATTAACAAAAATACAGAACAAAGCAAATTCACAGTTACGGGATTAAGGTCCAAGATGTAAGTCAGTTATAAACAAAGGCTGAACTACTCGGCAAGCATCCGTTTCAGATCGAGATCTATGATCACTCCGGATTTTAGCACACTAAACGAATCGGGAATTTCGGTTAAGTTTCCATAACACGAGCGAAATGGCAGCTTAAACACTGAAGTGAATGTTTGTGTACACAGCATTTTGTATTTCTTTAAAATCTCGCCCATCTCACTAGTCCTATCAAAATCAATAGATTTTTTTTCGATTACGTAAATACATGTAAAAAGGAGCCAAACATAAAAGGGAAGCACTATGCAACGCCGAAACCGATATCCACAGCATTTGATACCGGATCCATTTGTTTATAGGAAAGTACTGCATCGATCAAGATCCAATCAATTAGTTCGGCCCGGTATCACCAATCTGAAAAAAGATTCGTCGTTTGAAAGGAAGGCAACGGTTCAAAATCCTGCTCCGGTTCCTCCCAAAGAATTCTAAGCATCAGGACCTACCAGTTTACCAGTTTTCTTCTTCCTTTTTCTCTTGCTACCCTTTGACAACTGCTTTGATTGTACTTGGACATGTCTCTAAAAATCAACAGATTTTCTGGTCGATTTTGGATTTGGTTTAGGCTTGACTGGGAGCTTCTGGGAGCAGCTTCTGGGTCGATGCGATGGTACCGTTTTCTATGGTGGCGGCGTTGTTGGGCGGGAATCACTACACGCATGTAAATCTTCTTTGTTTTCTAGCAGTGTTAAAACTTCGAAAGCTTTACTAGCTGTCATTCTTTTGCCTGGACTTTTTTCCCAGCAGGACTCCATGACTCTCATCCATGATGGAGAAGGCTTCAATGTCTTATCGATATGATAAGGCCGAAGTCCATCTCTTACATCTTGGAGGAGCTTGGATTGGTTTCTACTGACTTCCATATCACTAAACACTCTCTCGCCGTACCACAGCTCCCATAGTACAAAAGCAAAGCTATACATGTCTGCTTTACTGTTGTAGATTCGACCATCCAAGACTTCAGGAGCTAAATAAAGGGACGTGCCGCAAATGGTACCAGTGATATCTTCCTCATATTTTCCCACTCCCACGTCTGCCAGCTTTACTTTTCCATCTTGTGTCAACTTTAAATAATAAGTTAAACATAATTACAACGTGTCGGATGTTATATAATATGTGATTTCAAAGGAAAGAACTGTTCTAGACAGACCAAGCTTAACGGTTGAGGTCATGTTTGTGTCCTGAGATCTTTGCTCCAAGTTTAATACCCTTTCCGTCGTGATTTAAGATGTTAAATAAGTGTAAAGCCAATGATGAAAAATCGACCATTACCTGTTCCCTGTTCATATGATTATCTTCCTTATAAAAGAGGGTGCGTTTCTTTACTAAAATCCGAGATCAGATCAAAAATCCCGATCATTAGGATTTTTCGTTAAGAAAAAAAACCATATATCAAAAAAGGATTACATGTATTTTCATCCATCTCCATAGAAACGACCCACGCCATCGACGGTGTCCTAGACAAAGAATATCACGGCTGCTGATAATGTTGCAGATTTGCTCATCTTTCTTTGCATTCTGGACGGTTAGCTCAAGGATACTGCTTTAGACGGGCCAAGTGAAGATGAGTCTTGAATTTAAATAAGAGATCATTCTACTGGAAAAGTAAAATAAGCGCCGGCGAAGTCGTGTAGCAGTTTTGTCTCGATTGTCCTTATGAAGTAGCGACAATTCGGGTCCTGTTTGTATTACGATTTTACCATCCGGATAAAACGTTTAATCCCTGGTTCAATCCACGCCTCGAGTTAAAAATGGCCATAAAGATGAGCAGTGTTTTCAAACAGCTGCTGTATGTATAAAAATTGTTTCGAGTTACCGCTGGCTGTATTCACCCTTTTCGAATCCGTAGTAAGGAAACGTTTCGGACCATGTATCCAACGTATCCGGTTTTGGATATGATCCAAAGAATCCACCTCCGTTGTGGTTCATTTGAATCAATAATCCGTGTTTTGGATTTTAGTAAAGAAATGAACTATCCGTTTTTGGACTAAAAAATCCGGATTTGGATTTTAGTAAAGAAACGCACCCTTAATGTGGTATAATAACTAACTTACCAGCAAATTATCCAGTTTTAAATCTCTGTGTACAAATCCTTTACCGTGAATGTAACGCAAGGCATCCAAGACCTGCAGAGCCCAGTTTAAAACCTTGTTCCTTATTGGTTCACTGGGAAGTCTAGCGGGGGCGTTCTCCGGATGGGAAGTTACCAGTTCTCTGAGGGAGCAGACACACAGTTCCAAAACAATCGTTACTGTAGTGCCATTTGCTTCGTGCAAAAGGCAGGTTCCAAAACACTTTACGATGCCAGGATGTTGCAAATCCCTTTAAAAAAAGTAAACCAAGATAGTGAAACAATTTTGTTCAATTTCATAAACACACACACAAAAAACTTGAATTATGCACATATATTTTGAACAGTCTTTAGTAGCATGCGCCTATAAATTTCATTGCTAGCAATGTATGAGTATGTTTTTCATTCAACCGAGTAGGTAAGCTCTTTGGCTTAATTTTTCCCTTAAGTTTTTTACCAAAAATCTAGTATGTAAGGAAAGAACGAGCTGGTTTCCAATAGCGCTAAGAAAAGAACTTTTTTTACTTGGTCAGAAGCAATTCACAATAAATAACTCGATAGGAAAATAAATAAACGTCTGAACTCTTGAAGAGGGTTGACTTAAGCCTATCTTGTTAAGGCTTAACCAGTATATTAATTTAGTCTGAGTATTAAACTGGACTTTCTAGCTGCTACTACTGTTGTTGGAAAATCACTCTCACGCACGAGATTACAGAGACTATTACTGACGAACACAAAGCACCTTATAAGCCTTATAAAAGGGTTATTTTCTTCATTGATCGCCACCCAAATTACGCCTGCGAAAAACCATTAGTTAGCTAAAGGTTACGGAGTGGTAATCTTCGTTTTTCGTGATTGTTTAAAACAAACCTTAACGCTTTTTCCTCATCAACAAAATGCCACACGTTGCTGGTACTAGGTGGATGTAAATACTCTTTTATGGCCACTTTCACTTCCGGTTTTCCACTCTGAGTAAGGATTCCTCTGTACACCGTCGAGAAATTTCCTCTTCCTATGATTGACTGGCGATGTCCATCCCATTTCAACTCATCCCTGGTAAAGTCCGACTTTCTCATTTCTGTGAGACTAAAAACGGTTAGCTCGCGCTTCAGGAATTCTGCCTCCATAGCCAAAGGTTCGTAGATTTTGCGAATCTCAGTCTTACTTCTGTCATCAACAAGTAGCTTTTGGTAAAACTTGTTGTCACATTCCAGTAGCTTGGGCATTTTATCCTTGAGTTGTTTCAGGCACTGAATGGCATCTTCCAGCTGTTCGTTGATGAGGGGCAACAATCGATCTTTAGTACTAATCATCGCAAGGCATTTCTTTGATCTCTTTGACATGTAGGCAGACGGGTCTTCTTGATAGTTCTCCCGTTTACCTTTGTAATGTAACTTCTTCTTGACAGTCTTCAACAAACCAAGTGTTTTGAGTGGAGATCCCACAATCACTGGTGCTAAGCCTTGTCTAAGCCATATTGGAGCAATGCCCTTGGACGCTTTCCGTGATTTTGCTTGAGAACGTGTTTGAGTTGCATTTTCGTCCTGCGTCGTGACGTCTATGTCGTCTGCGTCCAAAAAGACGTATTCTCCCACTTGATGAATTTCTCCTTCCATGATATCGTACTTTTCACAACAAAATTTAGCGAGTGAAACCTGAGCACTAGCAAATTCGTGCGTTTGGTCCTCCCACTTCTGAATAAACTGCTGGGTTCTCTTTGAAATGCATCTTAAAACTTCATCCTTCGTCTGCTGCCAGGTTTCTTTAACCTCAGGTACCTCATTAGGAGACCATTTACAAAACTTCTTGACCGTCTCTTCGGATTTGAAGTACTCTGACAGCTTTGCAATGATATCTTCTAGGATCTCTAACTGATATTTACTAAGCTCATCAAATTTACACTGCTGAGATTCTTGTAGTTCTTGCATTCGTCTCTGTACCTTTGAAATCTTCCCCTTTGTTTCTTGATGTGACAGCTTTGTGGTCTTAAGAAAAATTTTAACTTGATGGGAGACACGCGAAAGGACTTCCTCCAGCCATCTGTTGAATAATGGCAAGGAAAATAAACTCATTAGTTCGCTGTCGATTCGCATTCCAGGGGTGGTTTATTCCATATGATAGTCAGTGAAACGGATCGGAGGCAAGAACGATTTCAATTGAGTTTAAATTCCACGATCTTCGGAGCTCTTTTCTGGTAATAAATGAATATTTTTTACACCAGAAGAAAACGTGATCACTATACGAATATAATACACGTACTTATTTTTTTTAAAAGAAGCTGTTTTCAAAGGGCTTAATTACACTTATAATTACAATCTCTGCCATGCAGAAATGTGTACAGTCATATCCATCAGTGTATTTTTTATAAATAGGCCATAAGTAAACACTTTACCCATCACAAATCAAACTATGCATCATCATTTCTAAATGAGTTTACTATATACTAGTCAATTTGCATGCCTGTGAAAAACGTATACATGCTTTTGCATTTTTTCCCCCGTAAATTCAAGTTTGCAAAAGTTTGCACTGTTCAAGTAAGGTGATCAGCGAATTTTAGTTTACAACTTCTTTTTATTAAGTCTCAATGTTGTGACAGACGACTAATAACATCGCGACTTTATCATAACCAATCAGGTCAATAATCTCTCTTGCCAAAATTTTCAAAATACTATCAACCGACGTGACACTCTGAAGATGACTACTACAAGGTCAGTCATGATCACTGTCAACAAGACCACTGAACAATCCTATTCAGGCCTAAGTTCACCCGGACGATCATGCTCAATCTACTTATAAATGACTCCTGGGTTCAAACCTTTCACAGCTTAATACAATCTCTTTCATAGCAGAATATCATAACACCCCGGCGAACGAATCTATTGCCTTTTTACGCCCGCAGACAGAAATTTATAGAATCTGTGAACAACTAAGGCTAACGGATTCGATTTTCATATACACGATCAACACATCTATGGCGGTACGCACGCTTGATCTTTTTTGACTCTGAGCCTACCTTTTTTCGAAATTGACTGGTTAAAAATGCATGTAAATTAAGTCAGTAATGCTCCAAATTTGAAGCAGAAAACTTCTTTTCTCCTCATAGACCTTGTTAAGATACCTGAAGTGCATTTCCAGCTTGTTTTGCATGGTAGAGACAATAAGATGGCTGATACCAGCGATTAAGTTGTTGAAGTCCTGAGTGATGTAACCATACTTCTGGCAAGTCTGGGCAGTTGTACACGACAAATAGACCATTTGTTTTCCTCGATCGAGATTTGGAAGCTTCTTGAAAAGTTTTTCGACTTGTACTTCCTTCACTTTCTCCTGCTCGTTAGGTTGAATGAGATCCCACTTGTTACAGACAAACAAAGCACATCCGGTAAATAGGGCGAGATCATTCTTCGTGAGTTTCGCTTGAGCACACTGGAGTAGCATTTCTAACTGTTAAAAACAAAGAAGACATTACTGTCTTCCATCGCTTGATAAAACCCTTAAGGTATCTTTAGATAGATGTCTCCCCTTTAATTTTCCCTTTCTCTTTATTCTCCTTCAGAATAGTCGGTAAAAATATTGGTGGTGTGTAAGTTGCTTCTCAATGTAACGTCCATTACGCAAATTCCAAACAGAGACCGCGAAATTTCAATTCTGCTAATTATATCCAAAGGCTTTTGTTTTTTGTTTCTGCCATTTTAAGCATTTTCTCGAGTTGAAGTATTAAATCTATCGATTAACGCCTGTGATGTGAAGTGAAGTACCTCTAGATTAAGGTGGCTCCCTAGAGTAAGTTGGCCGTGCGCAGCCTGAGCAACAGTATGGCGCGAGCTTTAAAATCCGCGCGACGTCCACGCAAAAATTAAAACAAACATGGCCTCTCAGTTTCGGAATATTCCACCCAAAAAACTTTATTAACTTTCTGTTGAAGCTCACTGTGCAAAAAGTTTGATTAATGTAGGTCAAACATTTATGACAAGAGACAATGTTACACCTGTTACAAGTCACTATCGATCTCCATAAGAGTAAATTGTATGTAAAAACAAAGCAGAAATTTTCCAAAGACATCAATTCTTTCGCTTCAAAAGTAGCCAAACGTTAAGTAGTCGAAGTAAATGGTGGGTGGAAACTTTACTTAGAAAACAAAGAAGTAAGTACACGAACTCAGAAGGAAGCAATGTTGCTGTTTCTGGCCTTTGGTTCACGGTCAGTGGAAAGATCTGAAAGATCGAGCCAATTCCCGAACAAACACTGAAGATTGTCCTCCCTGGCGGAGCTCCTTGGTCACTTTAGTTCTCTTACATTTGATTTGATTTAATTATTCTAGAAGTGGCTTTAAGACAAGATAACAGGGAGTGTAATTTTTTTTGTTTGTTTTGCCGACTCTATTACATTGTTTAAAAAACTTATAAGAAAAAAGGTTTCACACTTAACTTGCATCCTAATCGAAGGAACCTTTCCATCGACGAACCAAAATCCTTGTATTTTTTCTTGTTTCAAACGTCGTTCAACGCACATGCAAGATGCACTAGAAAATGTTTTTGCACAACGAGAAATAATTTTTACTCACAGATTGACCCTTGAAGAAAGCAATAGTTGTCCGTCGAAACCTACGGTCTTGTACGTGTAGATGAGGACATGATGTACGATTTATAGATCGGCGCCATCTTCTACAGCAGACNCCTCTAGATTAAGGTGGCTCCCTAGAGTAAGTTGGCCGTGCGCAGCCTGAGCAACAGTATGGCGCGAGCTTTAAAATCCGCGCGACGTCCACGCAAAAATTAAAACAAACATGGCCTCTCAGTTTCGGAATATTCCACCCAAAAAACTTTATTAACTTTCTGTTGAAGCTCATTGTGCAAAAAGTTTGATTAGTGTAGGACAAACATTTATGACAAGAGACAATGTTACACCTGTTACAAGTCACTATCGATCTTCATAAGAGTAAATTGTATGTAAAAACAAAGTAGAAATTTTCCAAAGACATCAATTCTTTCGCTTCAAAAGTAGCCAAACGTTAAGTAGTCGAAGTAAATGGTGGGTGGAAATTTTACTTAGAAAACAAAGAAGTAAGTACACGAACTCAGAAGGAAGCAATGTTGCTGTTTCTGGCCTTTGGTTCACGGTCAGTGGAAAGATCTGAAAGATCGAGCCAATTCCCGAACAAACACTGAAGATTGTCCTCCCTGGCGGAGCTCCTTGGTCACTTTAGTTCTCTTGCATTTGATTTGATTTAATTATTCTAGAAGTGGCTTTAAGACAAGATAACAGGGAGTGTAATTTTTTTTGTTTGTTTTGCCGACTCTATTACATTGTTTAAAAAACTTATAAGAAAAAAGGTTTCCCACTTAACTTGCATCCTAATCGAAGGAACCTTTCCATCGACGAACCAAAATCCTTGTATTTTTTCTTGTTTCAAACGTCGTTCAACGCACATGCAAGATGCACTAGAAAATGTTTTTGCACAACGAGAAATAATTTTTACTCACAGATTGACCCTTGAAGAAAGCAATAGTTGTCCGTCGAAACCTACGGTCTTGTACGTGTAGATGAGGACATGATGTACGATTTATAGATCGGCGCCATCTTCTACAGCAGACTTTTAAAGAAAAACTTCGCCGTCGAAATTATCCATAAAGAAGAACAAGGTTGAAAAAGTATCCGAAAGTGGGCTGACATTTGAAGATATGCAAACAGTGTACAGCAGATTAGGAAATGAAGGGCTTATTGCGATCCTTGCACAACCACCGTCTTCATCTCCGATGATCGCCATCCTCAAGAGTGACCACCACGGCTCGAATTTTAACTACAATAGTCAATAGCTCGCGCGCGTATTTTGCTCACACGACCCCGAGTCACGCGTGTTTTTCGGATTTCTGTGACGTCAGCGCAGTTAATTAACCGTGAATTTCTCGCGTTTCCTTCGGCAATTTTTTTGAAAATCGCCTCATTTCTTACCAGTCGCAGTACCTTTGTACTGTCATTTTTTTGTCAAAATCTGTAAGAGCTAAACTCTTCTATTAAGAAAAATTACAAATTTCAAAATATTGGCAAAACCGTCTTAACGACCCCACGTTTTTTCCACTATAAAATGTTGGGCAATATCGTTAATATAAAGTGGCGAAGTTTAAAGACATTTCACCGCGGGAAATTAGAAATATTAAGGAAAAATGGGCAAAAATGACAAAATTACTGCCCGTTTAAGGTTGCGGTATTTCCATGGCAACGGCCTTAATCCAGAAAATGAAACTTGATAAAGGAGCCTTCTTATATGTGTAACCTTAGCGGTGAATCTCGTGAACAAAATCGCAAAGACAAAGTAACTAGATTTTCTTCTGTAACGTATGCTTGATAGCTCGGATTATTAGTAAATACTCTAGGGAGCCACCTTAAGTCAATAAAGAGATTAACGTATTTTCAAACACTCAAATTCTACTGGCCACTTTCAATTAATAGTTTATGGAGCTAGTAGGGCTGTTCACGAGAAGAAGACAACAGAGCAAGGCGCGTAATGTTTCCAAAGATGGGTTAGCGGTTTCACTGACTACAATTGATACATAAACTATCAATAATTCTCACCCTGTCTTTCTGCACCCCTCCAGCATTATGGGTATTGATGACATACATAAAGCAGAACGCGTTAGACATGTAGTTGAGGACAAATTCGTCCATCACTTCACTTTCTCCCACTCCAGGACTGTCCACTATCATAACGTTCTCCTGAAATAACAGTGACATGAGCATCATTACCAACAACTAACTGTGGTAGATTTTACTAATAACTGATAGTTAACTTTTACAAAGATGGGTGGAATGAGCTTTAAAAAACTCAGCTTTTGGGAATGTTAATGATGGACAATCCGTGGATGTTCATTAGTTCCTCCAGCTTTGCTAGTTTCCTCGTTTAGTGAGGTGAGTACGGAACAAGCGAGAAGCGCGAAGCGCGAGAGCTGGAGACAAGCGAGAAGGGCGACAGGGGGATGATGCATGGGAACTGGCGCAGAGCGAGAGAGGGAGTAACTCCTTTCACCTCGCTTCCCTTAGTAATTAACTCAAATACCCCACAAGAAGTGATCGCCAGCGATTGGGGACGAGTCAGATTCATTTCATTCAACGAACCCGTTGCCGTTCGCTACGAGATACCAGACCAACATCAATGAACCTGTTAGCAGACTTGGACTTGGCAACTGGCCCCGAGGTTGGTTTCGTCGTTGGTTCAATTTAAGACCTCACCGAATATTCATAGAGAGAGAAACAATTCATTGAAATGACTGCTAATTGCAACTTAAGTATAGATTGTTCAAACATTCTCTTGAAGCTATATTCCCGTCTGGGTTTGGTACATCTGTCAAGGTCAAATAATTTCTGGTGCAAATTTCTATAAAAACATAACTTTTTCATTACCTTAAGCAAAGGGTGTGGCCAAAACAACTCTATCTTCTTGTACGGTGTGTTGTCTCGATCAGTTTTCGAGCTAACAAATCTACTGATCTGAGCTGTGTAGTTTTCATCAGGACTTTCGTTCAGTTCATACTTTTCTGGGTCACGTTTTTGTGTTCCGTCATCCTTGAAATGCACGTTGATCATTTTTTTCTCCCCATATTTCAGCTCGCAGATGGTAGAAGTTGTACTCAGGACTGCGAAAGGAAGAACTTCTTCTCCGAGGATCAAATTTATAACGCTACTTTTGTCAGCACTCGTTTCGCCTGTTCATCAAAACAATCCAAAACAAAGATATTTTTTATTATTTTATCAGGAGCACGTAAAAAAACCGTTGTATTTCCTATTAAGGGAAAGACCTTTTTTTTAACCAAGGAGGAGGGGGGGGGGGTTGAAAACTTTTGAAATAGGTTGTTTGCATTGGCTGTAAACACTGACATAAATTGTGCAAGTAAAGAAAGTAATGGTCCCTCCCCAAACATTTCATCGGATATATACCAGTCATTGGATGATGTAGAGTATGATGCTGAAAAAAAGGTGTTAAGGTATAGACCTGTTCCTGCAGGCGTTCAGTTAGTGAATTGGGGAGAAAAATAGAGCGAGGAATCAGTGATCATGACCTTAATTTCCTCTTTTAAGAAAGCAAACGTTACTGGGTAAGGAGCCGGGTGGAAGAACACAGGCTAGTCCCCTACAGGAAAACCCCAAAATGCTGCCTCTGAATGGCTTCCTCTTTGCTGTGGTTCTTTAACAACATTCCTTAAGGGGGACTATAAGGCCCGGTTCAGACGCCGTACTTTTCATGACCCGAACCTAATACATTGAATTAAGTACGTGAAAAGTTCGGCGTCTGAATCAGTTAGGAACGTCTGTTTCAATTTAGAACGGCTCGATCAGCCGTTCTTTCCGCCTAGCCCGGCCGGGAATTTCGCCTTTGGATTAACTTTGGAACGCCTTTGATTCAGACGCGGAACTTTTCATGTATCGAACCTAATGCATAAATTCTTATAACGTATTTTGTAAGCAGTTTGAGCGAAATGACAATTTTTTTCCTTCTGAATTTAGTTCGGTTGGAACTAAGATCGGCGTCTGAATCAATTCAGCCGGTCTAAATAATTTGGGTCGGCCTTAATTCGAATTAGGTTCGACTCATGAAAAGTTCGGCGTCTGAACCGGGCCTAAGACCATCTTCCTTTGGATACTTTTAATGCAGTTCATACCCCCAAATGTGATTACCTCTCATGATACGGTATTGCCCTACAATACTTACAGATGTACGAAGAGCTTTCATTTTCAACCTTTAACTACAGGAATAATTAGTAAAACGTACTAAATTGCTTGCAGTGAATTTTCTGCTGAGTTGTGTTTGGACCTCTTTTCGGAAGATATCCCCCGTGGTTTTTTACCGAAAGGGCTCGTAAGCGACCACTAAATATTCGCACGTTAGATGGTCGTTTAACGAAAGCTCGACTGCAGATATTCGTATCTCACAAAACCTCGCGGAAATTAAAAGTTAAACCCTGAAGGTGTTAGGGGGGGGGGGGGGGGGGGGGGGGGGGGGGGGTTTGGGTGGGAACGCTTAGGACCAGATGTACAGCGACCCTCTCAAAAAACGGTATCGAAAGAACAATCATGCATCAACAGTTATTGCTAACTTGCTTAACCTTTAAAAAGCCTTTGACTGAAAGGACCATACATTACTGTTTTGAGTAAAATCTGCTTTGTGACTTGCTTTATTAGTTAATATCTCCGTGAATCGTTAGTTTGAACAAATTCACAAATTTTCCGGTAAAATTAAACCCCTGCAGGTTAGTGCTAATCGGCTTCGAACAACTGGGGCACAGGTTCTTTCTCAAGAGAGGAAGGGAGAGGACCTGAATTAAAACGAAGATTGCACCATAATTCGTACAGCTCGGAAATAATTCGAAATCCCTAACAAAATTTCACTCTTCATCATTTGATTATACATACTTATTGCACATCGCACGCAAACCAGACAAAGAGTAGTCTGTAGTGCTTTCATGGTAAATTTTGAATAACGCAATTTATCAGGATCTTACCGGCGACAAGGACAGTATATTCGTTCCTTGGTTGTAACTTTGTTATACTTTCCCTTATGGTTGTTTCGAGGTCTCCAAAGCTTTCCTGGAGGGAGATTTTCAGCCCAGGGTCAAGCTTATCCAAAAAGTCTGAAGTGTTTTTGTAAATGTCTTGGAGTTTCTTGCGTTTTCTTTCATCTGACTTACTAGCGTTAGAGATTACTTGGTAAGGCTAGAAACAAAGAAAATCATAATCATTAAATCACTGCAAATGTATTTTTTTGTCTTTTTTATTGGCTAGCCTGAACTTCAAACGATTACTTCGATTCGTTTACTAAGGGAGTAAAAACGAGTCGGAGTAATCTACTGCTCGGAAATTCAGGCTAAATCTCGCCACGTATTATTCAAACTTTTCAGTGAAAACTCGAAGCAAGACAGCCTGCATTTATCTGCGGATTGTGTTCCATAGATAGTTTGCAGGTTACACATTCTGAGAAGAGGAGACCGTTTGTCAGAACTAGACTTTCTTGGTGTCGGAAAATGTTATCTTCTGACATTGGTGACTAAATTAACGTTTCACAGGGAAGACGAAAGACCGAGGACGTGAAGATGATTGCCGCTTGACTAACAACTTCGACCAAGAAAAACCAATTTTCGGCCTCTGTTAGCAATAATTTTGAAGGGACTAAATTTCCATCACAGTTTGCTGAGAATCGTACAATTTGCTTACCACATAATTATGCAATTGCGATAGAAAAAAATAGGATACTAACCTCGCTAACCCTTTTCGTGGCAGACTCCTTTAGAAAGTCTCGTAGTTTAGCTTTCATTTCCTCACAACTCTTTAATCCTTTTGTCGGAATTTGTAAGGACTTCATTATTTCGCAAATTTCGCCCATGTCATCTATCTGGTCCAAGCCGTCGCCCATCTTTATAGCAACCAGCCTATCTGCGGAAATTAATGCGAAAGCATGTGATGCATATGCAAAGTTAGCTGTCCTTGTAAAGAAGCCCTTTCATTAATTTTAAACGTTGTAAAACGGTTAAGGGCTAGTGTTGCACCAATAACTAATGTTTATAGGTTGATAGTTTTAAAACAGCCAATTTTTTTGCCCCGGAAGTGATCGGGGCCGCCATCTTGTCTGAAAACAATTGACTCGCCCCAACTCTCTGTCCGTTTCTTTGTCTAAGATTGCAGGAGAACATTGATCAGTATCATCTTTCACACCGCAAAATACACGTACATGAACCCTTGCTTTGCAAAAAAATAATAATTTGAACAATTATCCTCTACGCCGCCGTATTAGGACTGAAGATGATTGTTTTAATCTTGATGTTGGAATTTACGTCGTCATTTTCTCCAATGAGAAATGTCTATTTCTTTGAGACCAAACTGATGAATATTTTATTATGAAAATGCACTGAAAATGCCACAATGCTCGACAAATGCTTAATGTTTTTACATACATAAAATGCTCGAAAAAGGCCTAATGAGAGAGGGCTGTATTTGCAAGCTATTTGGGAACCGAAACCACACGAGATAAGTAGTGAAATCCAGAACGATTTGTTTGTGTTTTATACCCTCTAAAGGCCAATTTGAGCGCTCCTATTTAAACATATGACCATAGAAAAATCAAAAATGGTCCATCTTCAAGTTTTTAATCGCTTATTAGTGTAAAAAGTTTTCATTATGGTCTGGGTTTTGGGTTTCTGTAGTTTCATCGCAATGCACTACCTTGGGATCGGACACACGCATGAGGTTAATCGATATCATTAGGATATACGTAAGAATTTGTAATTCTATATTTTTTTATTCCACAGAGGAGCGAGAAATTTGATTTTCATGCATAGTTGAAAATCTACAAAATACTTTAAGTTTCAAAGTCGTACATTAAAATAATTCCAAAAACTGGAATGTTTCTGTTTCTCTCCCTCCCCTCCCCTCTCGTCCCGGGATCGATTCCCCTCCTGGGAGAATTTTCACTTCAACATCCTTCGGGGAAATGAAAAATGTTAAATCTTTCTTGGAATAACCCGTTTATATTTTCTTCAATCTAATATTTGTTATCTTTGACCACTAGGTCTATTAGCGTAACTCAGGTACTTGTGCTTATTTTCGATTCAAAACTAAGTGTAACCGAGCACAACAGAATACAGTTGTTCATAAAATACGACCGACTGCGCGGCAGATCGTTTCTTTATCGATCGCTGTACATCACGGCCATAACAAGTTGGTTCCGATGCACTACTATACACAAGGAAGAGAGTCTGTTTCACCTATTCTGTCGGCGGAAGGAAGGTAGGTACGCATTTCCAAAGTTATCTTATTGTACTCGTTAACATGGGTGATAAAACGAGAGTGATTACTTGCCTTTTAGAAGAACATACCTTCTACAAAAGATGTCTTCAAGTTTCCACCGCCTTCACACCCGCAATGTTCAACATTGGTTGAGTTTTACAAGGAGCAACCTTCAAAGATCGTTTAATGTGCTCTTAGTACGATGAATTACTTACTAAAAAATTGGCAGACTCTTCTATCCAGTGTGAACTAATAATTTGTCATCCAAACAAAAGCGTTGGCCGCTGCAGATGGCGTCGACTGAAGACCTTGCCACGTGACCTTCCACTACTATTGCTCACGGGTACGGCTAAGCAATTAATATTTATTCTAATTGTTTTTGCTCAACAAATGTCACTATGCTGAATTGGCATTCCAGTTATGCTCCATTACAATTAACATAAAACTCCGCTTTTTACAAAATCGGAGCAAAATCATCCCGTGTAGGGTAATTCGGATTCCGGAATCGGAAAATTGTTGCTTTTAGAATCCCGAATCCAAGAAAAATTTGGAATTCAGACTTCAACTCTACGAATCCAAATTTCGTTTACAATAGGAATCCGGAATTTATGTTCCACTGTCAAGGAATATAGAATCCAGAGCATGTAATCCAAAAACCTCTATCAAGCGGACACCCTCTATTAAGCAGACACAGCACTAAGCCGGATCCCAAAATTATCGTCTTATATTTCCCTTTATAACGAACCCCTTCAGCGGATACCTCTATTAAGTGGACGCGGACACTAAAATAAGTTGTATTTGGCTAATTTCTATTGTTAAAAACCCCTATTAAGCGGACACCGGACTGAATTGACAATA